TTGTGCTCCAAAGGGTGATGGGAGTCAAACTGCAAATACTGGTCTGTGTGGGTGGGTTTGCGGTACACCTCGGTTTGCAAATGTCCTCTATCAGAGACTGAGACCTCACAGTCCAAGAAAGCCAACTTGCCATTTTTTACATCTTCTCGTGTGAACTTGATGTATTTATCCACAGAGTTGATGTGGTCAGTAAAATGTTGGACTTCCTGAGATTTAATTTTAACCCAGGTGTCGTCAACATACCTGAACCAATGACTTGGTGGTGTCCCTGAAAAGGACGTCAAGGCTCTCTTTTCTACCTCCTCCATGTACAGGTTGGCAACAATAGGAGAAACTGGAGACCCCATAGCACACCCATGTTTCTGCCTATAATATTGCTCCCCATATGTGAAGTAGGTTAACTGCAGGCACAGTTTCAAGAGTTGACACAGTTGTTCTGTGGAAAGCGTGGTCCTGCTGCTCAGCGTGGTGTCTGATTTTAATCTTAAACTGACCACTTCTACTGCATCATCAACAGGAATGCACGTAAAGAGTGATGTGACATCAAAAGAGACCATTGTTTCATCAGTCTCCATGATGACATCCCTCACCTTATCCACAAAGTCCATGGTGTTCTGTATGTGGTGTTCTGAGCTGCCAACTAAAGGGATGAGTACAGACGCCAGATATTTGGAAACATTTTAAGTGACAGAGTTAATCATGCTAACAATACGTCTTAAAGGTACACCTTGTTTGTGGATTTTAGGTAAACCATACAGACTAGGTGTGGCCTCCCCTGGGTACAGTCTGTGGTACAGAATACGGTCAATAGCCTTGTCCTGCTCCAAATTTTTCAGGCAATCTATTAACTTCTTCTTGTAACCACTTCCTGGATCTCTTTTCAGAGGTTCATAAGTGGTTAAGTCACTAAGGAGTGTCATAACTTTCTCATGATAGTCTTTCTGGTTCAAAATCACTGTGCACCTTCCTTTGGCTGCTGGGAGAATGATGATGTTTTTGTCCTTGCTAAGAGTGGTGAGTGCATCCCTCTCAGCAGCAAAACTGGTTGATCCACCCTGAGAAGGTGCTAAGAGACTGAGCTGAAAACAGCACCTCAGACTGAGGAAGTCTCTTGGATGAGAGACGAAACGTTTCTAGATTTTTTTGCTTTGTTTTGTTTTTTTGTTTTTTTTGAATGTCCAGAGGACCAGATTGAACTTTTTTGGAATTTAAACCATCTCTTCCATCGATCATGATGGGCAATGTGAGATCGCTGGGAAACAAGTTGGATGAACTTCAAGCCCTAAGAAGGACCCATCCAGAGTATCGGGAATGCAGTATTATGCGTTTCACTGAGACATGGCTGCAGGATCATATCCCCGACTCCAGCGTTTCATTGCCAGGCTTTCTGACCATATGAGCAGATAGAGATTTAAAGAGGAGTGGCAAAAGGAAAGGAGGTGGGTTGGCAGTGCTTGTGAACAACAGATGGTGTAGCTTATGTAGGCTTTATATGTAGATATGTAGATATGTATATTCATGTATATTCATGTGTATGTATGTATGTATATAGGCGTAGGTATGGGTATATATATTTATGGAAACTTACTGCAAAGCCATGAATATTTTAAGTTCTTTATACGTATGTATTTTGTTGCTGTGTTTTATCATGTTCTTTGCAGGTGAACAGACAGTGGCCGGGTGTTTTGCCATGTGCTCTCTTTGTGTATATTTCTTGTATTTTGGAGTCTTACTTTGTCTTTTCTTTCTTTCTATCCT